AAACTTTCTGAAGTTATTCTGTTTTCATTATCAGTGACGCTGCAGACTATATAATGATGGATAGAAGCTGGTTTTTGTTTCTTTTCCTTTCGGATGTCCCACTTTATTTTCTCTGAGTTTTAATTCACGAACACAGGTTGGACACCATTTAAATTCTTCATTCTCCCATACTTTTTTTTCTCTGTCAAAAGTCACGTGAGCAATAATCCATACCTTCCTTTTAACTCTGATAAGAGAAAAATGGTCCGAGGGGACTCACGAGAGTGCATTGCAGTTCTTGTAAAGTTTTGAGTGCTATACTAAATGATTGACGACGTTGTGTTTGCAGCTTATTAATCCTGATGTGGAGATAAGGATGGTGGAGAACACTCCTGATGATCCACGACAGAGGAAGCCTGACATCACAAAGGCAAAAGAATTGCTAGGTTGGGAGCCAAAAGTCAAGTTGCGGGATGGTCTTCCCCTTATGGAGGAGGACTTCCGATTAAGGCTTGGAGTCTCCAAAAAAGCGTGAACTGAAACTTACATTAGTTCTGGGGTGATATAGAGTGGTCATGGTGGGGAGGTGTCATAAAAGACAACAACCATCTGTGTTTTTTTAGGTCCTCAGTTTCAGATTGTATCTTGTCTTCTATCTCATTATTTTCCTAATCATGTCACAGAAAATAAAAAGAATCATGGATTTTGAACCGCCCTTACTTATTGACTACTCTTTTCAACTGGAAATTGAAACTCGGTTTCTACCATTAGCAGTTAATCTTTACCAATGAATACAATATTGAACGCTGGAAGAATAAGTAAACAGATAGCTGTGGGCTCCAAAACTGGACGTCTCAATAATTTCATCAAGTGAAGGTCTCAATCCAGGTTACTTCATTTGCATTTCTCTGACTAATTACAATCTCCATGTGGTTTCTCTACTTTTTAACCTAAGAACAATGATATGGCAAAGCTTATCTTTTCCTGCATTGTGGATCCATTATGTTGGTGATGCTGTGGGGAGACCGAATGATCAGTGATGCCGATTTAAAATTTGCAGAGGTATATTTCAAAAATCTGTTTTAAAGCATTAATTTTATTTGTCATATATTCTTTAAATTTTTATTTTTCTATTTGATAAGACAGCTTCCCTTTCATTATTCTGTTAAGACTATAATACAAAATGGTCCATCTTAGCTGTTACACTGATTTGGCCTATAAAAGCTATATAGTGATTAACACAATTTATTGGAGTACACTCAATTTCTTTTTCTTGTTCAATTGGGTGGAATGACTATTCCTTGTTCAATATGTAAAAGTAGGGCAAGATAAAGAAGGGTATTTCAAAGTCTAGAAGATAAGAATAAGGTTGGATATTTTTTTATAAATTAGTGAATGAGATAGGAATTATTAATACCTGCGGAGAAAGTATTAATGACTATTCCTGTCACATTCCAAAATCTAAAAAGGAAAATGAGCAACATTTCCTAGCTTATTCCTGGAGTGTCAGGCACTTCATTTTATCTTATTTTATTCATTGACCAACAGATGGTAATTCCATCAAATCAAACATAGCCTAAAGTTCCTTCTGCACCCATTGGCTGAAATTGTGCCATGTTTTAATGTAGACATCATTGATAGGTACCTTAAGACTCTAAGGGAGGATTAGGATTGATCTATGCTGTCTGTAAGTGGATGGCTTAATATTCTCAATAAATGCAGTTAGGATTAGTCTACATTGTAAGTGTTGCTCAAGGGAAGACGCTCTATACTGAAGTGTTGCTCAAGGAAAGATGGTGCTGTTGGAGCTGTGGTGTCAATGCTGCACAGGTGGCAGCAAATGGAAAGAAGGCTGCACAGGTGGCAGCAAATGGAAAGAAAGCTGCACAAGTGGCAGCAAAATGAAAAGAAGGGAGAGCTGCACCAAAGCACGGTAGCAGCAAAGTGCAGCAACCTATACTGCAAAATGTTGATGAAATGTTCTTGAAATGAGGCTGAAATGTAATGCAAATGAAAGCAAATGGAAGGCTGCAAAGTAGCAGCAAGAACAGCCACATGGAGCCACACAAATGGAAGCAAGACTTTTAATGTAATCTTGCATTAAATGTTTTGTAGATTTTTCTTTTAATGGATAAGTATTAGGTACTGTTTTTGTACTGAATTTTCTGCTATATAATAGTAGAACGATGAATGCAAAAAATGAATTTTCCCCTAAACTAAAGAGGGAACTCCGGGTGCCCTCCTTCTCCTCCAAGTCCCTTCCTTTTCACCAAAAAATCCAACAGTTGCGTCAATCCTCATTTAGTTTTTTGGCATAGAGAACTGCATGTTTTAAAAAATACAAAGTTGTCCAGATGGCAAACTGAATCTAATTACCAAAGTAATCGTATCTAAAATAGAATTCGTTAAATGATTATTTTAGTGACGTGAAAAGTGCTTCAAGTAGTTGGATATGCTCCACATAAGCAAACATTTTCTTTGGAAGTTTGTTTGGGAAATCTTGCTGTCTAAAGTGGCTTTGCAGAACCGTGGTGTGGATATTGATAGGTGCTGCTGTGTGTATGTGATCAGAATGAGGAATCCAATTATTATTTATTTTTTAAATGTCACTGGAGTACACAAGTTTGGGCAGGTTCTTGTCCTTTCTTTGGTAGAAGCAACATCAGGTCTGATTCTTATCTACGTGATTTTCTGAATTCTTTCCTAATGCTAAGCAGAAAGCATTAAGGACCGTGTTGCAGTTACACTGTGGAGCATATGGAACAACCGAAACAGTTGCTCCTTTCAGCATAGATGTTCAAAACATGACCTTACGGTTCATTGGATCTCAAAATACATCACGGAATACACAAAGTGCGGCTGAAGTTGGAAACAAGATCAGACAGTTGGAGAATAGAGTTTCGCCAGTTGTCTGGCAACCACCACAGGGGGATATAATAAAGATTAATACAGATGCTGCTGTCCCACAAAATCAGAACACAATCAGTCTAGGAGTTGTCATCCGGAGTAGTGAAAGTAAGGTTTTAGGGGCTGCACAAATAAACTGCACTTTCAAGGGGTCAGTTCTTCAAGCTGAGGTTATGGAAATTGATTTTGCACTACAATTAGGAAAGGAATTTGGCTGCAAAAGAGTTGAAATTGAATATGATAGTGCATAGGCTGTAGCTATAGCCAACCCTACCGATGAATGCATCTTCCTTTGGGAGCAATTGTTGAGAAACTTCGAGCTAGAAAGTCTTATTTTTTCTCTGTATTAAACATGTAAAGAGAGATTGCAATGTGTTGGCTCAGAGACTGGCACATCTTTTGTCTCCTTCTCCACCTTGGGAGGGTGTTTGGTTTGAATCTCTACCCTGCTTTATGTACTGTTTCTGATTACTAAGCAATAATATATCTCTCTTATAAAAGAAAAAAAAAAAAGATTTAAGTGGGATTTAATTATTAAATCTATTAATTTTTGCAAAGTCCATGTCAGACAATTAACAATTTTGTGCAGCTCAGCGCCACGTAAGCAAGGTTTGACGGAGTAACGGAAGAGGAAACGGAATTCTGACATTTTATGACATCATCACAGGCAAAAGGGGAGGTTTGGATGGGTTTGGTAAGTAGAAGAGGCTTGGAATTTTCGTTTTCTGGTTAGTAATAAAGTGGTTGGGTAGAAAGAGAGATTTGATCAAGTGGTAAGTGACTTATTTCAATTTAAGTAAGATTTTGAGTTTAAAATTTTGTGTATGCAGTAATTTTTATTGAAAGACTCACCCATCATTTTTAGGTGTGCGACGTGGGTCAATCCGCATTAATCGGGGCAAAATCTCGAATACCGAATGAGAAACCAAAAAAAAAAAAAAAAAAGTGGCTGGGGTTTTTTCTTTTTTTAATTTGGTGTGATTTTCTCAGCTTAATTGTAACTTGTAGGCCCTGAGCGTACGTGGTGGATGTTGCCCTTCGAGAAGTCATTTTCTGTACATGAATGATTAATTTTTTTACAGTCTCGTGTTTGGAAAATTTTTTATTCTGTTAATATTTTTTTTCTTTCCACGATCTAGAGCAAATGATGACAAATTTGAGTTGGGAAATAACAAATCTGGTGTTGTGACCATTTAAGGTTTTCTCCGCAATACCTTGCATAATATTTTTCTCAAAACATCAAATTTTTAATTTTTAATTA